CATAAAGTAAGGAAATAAAAGACATCTGCTGTGACAGAGAAAAACAGTGCAGTTTGACCTTCATACAAGGGTACATTCTTATTTTCAAAAATTCTTATTTTTGTATTATCTTTAGTTTTAATGTAATCTGGTGCAGTTCCATTAGAGACAAGGCATGAAATAGCACTTAACTTAAATTTGATTGAGTGATTCTCATTCTGCTGGTAGCAACAAGTAGGTAGTGATTGGAAGTACAGGCACACACACAAAAAAAAAACAGATTAAAGCTTTCAAAACCAATGACAGACATTCTAAAGTGCAGGATCGCCTTGAGAAAGTTAATTTTTCATATCTAATTTATATGTCTTGTGTTATTTTTTTGAGTTTGCTGTCTCTGCTCAGAATTACCTTGCTGAGTACAAAGCTTGACTTTATTGACAGCTTGTTCACTGTTTTTGAGTTACCACTGTTGAGAGTTTACAACTCAGTTGAGAGGAAACAACTTACAGTAGGTATGTAGCAGAAATATCATTTTGAAGTTTTGGAATGTTTCCTTATATCACATTTGTCTTCAGAGTGCTAAGAACAATATAGAAATAGCAAGATCAATGATGTTCTCCTTACTATAACAGATTTTGATTTAGTTTTGTGAAAGTATTGGACTGTCAGCTCTGGACTGTTGCATTAAAACAGAAAGCAAACACTGCTGAAACTGAACTATGGCCAGAAAATATACAGTAATATGTTTCATCATTGCAGAGAGGCTTTATAGTGGCATTCTATATCATCAAACATATCCCAAAGACACTTTAGCACAGAAGATTTCTAAAGTCAAAGTGATACAGCACTTACACAAATTATTGTTTGCTGTTTGCATAATTTTAGATATTGCTCCTCATCTATGAAGCACTAAAGCACAAAATAATAGCAATTTTGAACACTTTCATGATAAAGGATAATGAAGAACATACTCTTTTATTCAGGCATGTTCAACAGATAGTGTCCATGCCAATGGAGTAAGAAATAACAAACCAGACTTCCTACACAGTGCGAGTGTTGGCAGACAAAGATAGCAGCATGACTACTACTGCAGCAGAATGCTCTCACTGTCTTCTGCCCATCTAGCTACAGGACTGACTTCAAAGCTAGCTTAGAATACAAAAAGCAACATCAATTCTAAGATTTGCCCCAATCAATTAATGGTTGTTATAACAACATCTATGAATGAATGATGAACAAAGAGAAGTAAATTATCCTTTGTGTCAATATGTGGAGAGATTCAAGCTGATTAATGTGGACTCATGAAAAGAGGAGTGTTTATCTAGTTTTATTTTGTAAGTCATCGGCCCAGAATGAAAATGCATTCAAAAGAATCCCACAAAATGAATGTAGCTGTAAGAATCCATAGAAAAAAGCAAGCGGGCTTGATCTGCTAAGCTGCAGAAAAGTACTGGCAAATAAGGATGGAAATATCCAGAAACAAAAGAGAACAAGTGCATTGAACGACACTTTAAAAGCTGCTATGCGCCAAACAACTTTGAGATCCTTTATCTAGCCTATGTTTTAAAGCTTCACTCTCACGCAGAAGCCTACAGGTGGAGTTTGTTATTACTTTATTACTTCTTATACTGTATCCTCTTGTCACCATTAGGTCACTGTGCAGCAGCTAACCATTGAAAGGAGTAATACGCTGAAGGTTTCAGTTCTCTGGGTTGGTTATCTACAATGTAGCAACCGAAAAAAAAACATTGTTCCGTTTTGTTCTTCGTCATAAAAAAGTTAGCTGGAACACGGTAGTCACCTACTGTACATTATACAGCAGTACACACAGAAAAGATAACAAAACACGTTAACACTCTTTGTCCGCCCGTGCAGCGAGCAGATAACAATAGTCTAAGAACCACTTCTTAGTGAACGGATTGCGCCCTATTGTTCACATGAACGTCGTTATTACTTGATACAAAAAAAATAAAATACATTTTATAATTCTCAAATTTACATGAAAAGCATAGCATCACGTAGATTGATTAGATACTATTGTTTTGCATTGTTTACCAGAAACGTGTGTATGAAGCAGTTTGAAACAGTGAAGGTACTGTAATATACCAGCCGTATACAACTTGTTGAATATAATCTTTTTCTCTGCGTGTTTTCAGGTGCCCAGTCTCCCCTCCCTCCTTTCTTCGTTTTTTTTAAAGCCAAAAAAAACCCAAAAGAAAGAAAGCCGTCCAAAAAAAAAAAAAAACAACCAAGTGGGTGGGTTCCTCCGTGTTTCTGTTGTAAGCAGTGCGCACAGAGACATCTCATGCGACGCTCTCTTCCGTTCCAGCCCCTTTTTGCCATGAAGGGAGTTGTACGTTTGCAGACTCCCCCCTACAGTAAGAAAGGGGAAGCTCTTCTTTCTCTGCTCTGGAAGCTCAAGGCATCAAGACTTAGCAGTCTCAAGTCTTATTACTTGAATTGGCATATTGTTTTATGTAAAATATTTGTATTCATTTGTTTAAGGACATTGTTATTATTTTTAATAAACCGAATAGCTGTTCCCCAACTAACCACAAGCGTTCTTGTTATTCCCACTTCGCTTTGTAAAAAGGATAATTAAAATTGACACTGAAGAGCCTGTCGTACCCCGAAAGAAACATTCAAACTCCGATTTATTTCCTTCATTAGAACTCTCTATTGCATCAGCTCGAGATAACCTTTTAATAAAGCAATTTCTTTTAATCGAAACATCGTTTTTGTTTTCACTTAGTGAAACACATAGTCTTGTATGGAGCCAAATTCCTATTAATGAATTATAGGTTTTATATTCTTCTTTTACTTGCATTGGCTATTAGCTTTCTAATATTCCGTCTTTTTTCGCTGTGCCTTAAATCCTTCATATATTAGCACCATTTTCCTCATGTCTAACTTTATTACAGAGTATACTGTAGAAACTGCACGTTACAAACGTTTAACTTTTCTGAATAGTAACTTCGTGTTTTTGAACATTATTGATTTATAAATTCTTTGTTTTTCATCAGCTTTTTATCTTTAATTACATTAATCCATCCCTCTGTGTCAACTGTGCAATCAACTAAATCAGATAAATGTTATTACCGGATTTTCAATTCTCTCACTGTAGATTATACCAATGTATTGTTCGCGATGTTAATGCATCAGAGAACTCCTACACACCGGATTAGCAGCAGTACTTCAGTACTTTTCTACACGCTGGTGCGCTGCACAGCAACTGCACTTGAAAAGAAAAGTAGAAAAATACGTAGTACAAACCTCCTACACATGTGATTAACACATGCAAAACAGTGATGGGATTCAGAGATTGCACCTGTGTGTGAAACAGGTAAGAACAATGTAAAAACGATACACTTTGGGATTAAAGTACAGAAAACATATTTGTGTCAACAAATTGTAAAATCTCTAAATATTTTCTTAACAGACTTGTTACTTTACTGTTGCGTTGCTCTTTACTTTACACTTGAATGTAAATTACTTTAATTCATGCATATTCAATAAAGATGTTAGAATTTAGACACGAAATGTAAGTGACGGAATGATGTCCGTTTCATTAAGATGAAAGTGTCAAATTCGTTTCGGTCCCTCGCCATACTAAAAACACCCGGGGCTAACGGCTTACTGCAGGTAATGGTGACTTACAGAAATTCTGCAGCTACTGTACCATTGCAAGTTATCCGCAGGTTTCACACCTGCTAATCCGCAGGTTTCAGAAACCTGACGAAGGAAGAGCCACGTAAATTATTAATATTATTATTATTGACACTACAGTTCTACTGTAACACACTGGGCGATAACATTAATCACATGCAGTTAGTGTAATTTTGTTTAAATTATTTGTATTTTAACAATAAAAATCGTATTAAACAACAGTGCCAGAAAATTGGATACTAAATGTCAACACAAGGCGCACTTTCGCCTACTTTCTTATTTAAAGCTCTATTCATTTCACAGCACTAATATAGCACATTCGAAAACACGTTTGTAGAGCATTGGTGTACCGAGAGAGCCCAATGCTGGTGAGGGCTAAGACTAGACTCTCAACCCCAGGGCAGAGCAACTCCGACACTTAGAGGACAAACTGAGCTTTTTACTTTCAGAATACGGGCTCCCCTAAAACAAGGAAAACAATGGATTGCTGTTAAAAGCCAATTATTGCATGCATGTGCATACAGTACGTGCTGACGGGATTTCATATTAAAAGAACAATTTAATTATGCGTAATTGACTTGAAATATTTTGTGAAATTATAACCTTGCAGTTAAATGCGAATAGTGAAGCGCTTTATCTTCCATCCCCTCCCTGTCTAGAAAATAAAAGAAACTCGCATGGAAAATGTATCTTTCGACATTATTACATTTTTAACACTTTTATCCTTGCACTGCGCAGCTCTACCCTTGCTGCCCTCAATGAGGCGAATGAAATGGGCAGTCGGCGTAGGGGAAGTCGTTACACGATTTTGACAGGGGATGAAAGGCAGCTGATAATACCACAGGAGTCAAGCTCCTCACTATCACATGAAATGCATAATAAATATACAATGAAAGCAAAATGTCATACTAAAATACTCAGACTCTGAAACTACACTGATGTTTTTCCTATTCTCAGCGGTGTCATTCCAAAAGATGACAGAATCCTCTAGTTGCAAGTTTTATCACTGCATTGTTATGCATTCAAATAACAGAATTGCACAACAACGGATTTTTTTTTGTTGTAAATAAGTTGGTATGGTAAATTCTTCAAATTTACTTCTGATAAAATCAACCTTATGATCCTTTGCGGGTTATGTATCATGAAGCATTTGAGCCCTGAATGGTTGTGCTTGGTCTTATTCAATCTCAAAATATTGTTCCTAATCATGAGTAGGCTACAATCCCTATATGCAATACCCTAGCAGATTAGAAGGATGGTTTATAATGATGTGTATACAATAGATATCTTAAAGCTTTTGGATATTTCAAATTAAAGGAGGCTAAGACGCAAAAAATACGCTTTAAAAATCTTACCTCGGAAAAGTTGGGAGTTCCATAAATACTCTGCTAAAGTACTCCATCAAAACGTCTTCGATAGAGGATCAGCAATTCCACGGGCGAGATTCAAATAAGTTCAAAGTTTTCATTTTACACCAAGAACAAACAGGACTTCTCGCAGAAATGTGGAAAAATAAAGAAAATAAAAGAAGAATCTTTAGCTAAATATTTCCAAGATAAATTGTAGCATCAACATCCACAAAATACTCGGCAATAAAATCACTCAGATCCGAAAATGATTGTCTTTAAAATCTTCTCTAAGACAGAAAATAATACTTTTTTAAAATGAATGTCTCTTATTTTCAAAAATCCACAGACTTTTCAGCACTAATGCTCTTTTCTTTCGCAATTTGCAGTTCTTCTGGTTTAGGTGGTCGAACGTCCAGAACGGCTGAAGGAACCAAAGGCGAGCTTCTCTGTTCTTCGAGCTTCAATGTTCGCTTTGCGCACTTTTTGGAGATACTTTACTCCCGGCTCCGGAGACTCCTTGCTGTGTGTCTTTGCGCTGAAACTGGATTCAGTCTTTGTAGCCAGCGGCTTGTTCAGAAAAGCATATATCCAGCAGCCCCCCCCCCTTCTCTGAGTCGGAGAGGAGTGTGGATCACACACTGAAGTCAATGAGACACAGCGAAAAAGGGGGGTTTAGAAGGAGGGGGAGCGGGGGAGAAGTGTGTGGAGGGAGGGAACGAGAGAGGTAGAGAGGGATGTAAACGCGTAAGCACGCACAGATCCTCACATACATAGGCAGACAGCTGAGGAGAAGACCTCAGCGATTACTGCACGCGACTCGGAGGATGCTTAGAATTAGGATAGGGTATTTCTAAGGAAACTCGGATAAAACAGGCGATAGATTAGAAAGAACATTACAAAGAAGAGATGAGCTATTGGGGCTTTGCACTGTTTCCATCGGTTGATGTTTGCGGGTATTACAAATAATTTATTCGTTTCTACTTTATCTGTCTTACCGTTTTTCTCCGTATGATTATTCTATGCTGTTTCACTTTATTTTCTTTTTGAGTTGTTTCTTTGCCGAATTATAGAAGGACAGGTTCAGCTGAACGGAATACCTACTGTACGTACGATTCTAAATGCAATGGCAGCCGAGAGCGCATTCAAAGACAAAGGTAACGGGAACATCTTCTGATCGTACACGAAATTACCGAGTTTGCAGGAAAGCCAGCTAGACCCACAGGCAGGTAGACAGAGAAGTGCTGAGCAGTTCAACAAAATCATTCCACTACAAAATATTACAAAATAAATCAGGCTCGCGTATTTGGTATTGCGTGTTCTGTAAATTCCTAAGATTCTGCAAGACATTTAACCGGGGACTGATAAATAGCTACATTACGCGTGTCTTTATTTCTCAGGTACCGGTAAGTTCTAACCTTTCATTAAAAAAACATTAAAACATAAGTTATGTGTAACGAGAGCCATTGCAGTTGTACTGCCATATCAATCACTAGATGATCAGCCGCTTACTAGGTTTAATTAAAAGCGCCCCTTTGAAACAGTCACATTTTGCATTACACAGTATGCCTTAAGGCATTGCTGACTTGTAACTGACTATTCTTGCTTTCCCCGACATATACTCGTTTTTCTGCTTGCACAGTTTAGGCTTAGTACCACAACAGGTGCTGTAAGGGAACCACCCTAGCTATAGCATCGCAAGGAAGTTTAGATGTCCACTATTTGCAAAATCAACACCTTTCTTCGTATATTTACACTCTATAGTGGCTTTGGTTTTCCAACGCCGTGCGTTCTAACAAATCGCAGGTAGACAAGCAGTTGTGTCATGTACTGTACACCAGCACCTGCCAGGGAAGCATTCCCGCTTCCGTTCTGTGGGTGGCCATATGAATGCTGCGAGCCTGTAGCGTGCTCTCCGCTGTGGCTAGGTTGCGCGTGAGAGGGGGAGCCCGGCGGAGGCGGGGAGTGGGAGGCCTCTTGGCTAAATTACTTCGGAGGAAGCACTGCGTGAGAGAGATGTTGGAACTTTTGTTATAATAAACTCACATGAGGAGTGATAAGGTTTTGACTGCTTTAACACGACATTTGCCCATTTCTGTGACGTCATATATTAATTCATGAATTTATTAATTCATCTGCTTTGCATTGAATCCATGTGTTAAACAGGACAACGGAGCACCGCAATTTTCTCAGCCTGGGTAACGTCAGTGCAAGTTAAATAAGTCAATAAGCACAAGCTCAGCTACACAAACACCCATTCCAACAAAACCTAATAAAATACATTATATTATTTTTATATTATATCATTTTATTATCTTAATATAATAATAACAACAACATCATCATCATGAACAACAGCAACAACAGCAACAACAATAACAATAACAATAATAATAACAATAATAATAATAATAATAACAATTATTATTATTATTATGTTATAGTATTATAAACATATTTTTTAATTTCCTTTTCGGTTTCCTCAATGTTTACTTATTCTCCCATTTTTGGTATTATCTAAACTCTTTTGGTTTGCTAAACTCTTTACTAAATATGCCTAGGCACACTCTAGTCTCACCTGCTTGAAACAGGAGGGACACATGAAAGTGAAAAAGAAAAGGGAACAGAGTTCCATTTGGTCCTATAATTAGTGCTTTCCGGATTACATTAATAGACAATATTCATATCTCACACATTCTGTCTTGTGAATGTCTTTAAATCTAAAACAAGTCCTTCATGATACAGTATTAGCCTAGGGCACCCTACCTTGGCCTCCTCTTTAAATGGCCCTGTCACTGGCAGTCTAATTTGGATAGAAAGAGTTTTTAGAATATCATGGTGAGGCTGTACAGCTGTGCAATTCTTCATAAGGCAAACCTTTAGATCTGAATCCTGGGGAGTTCTAAAGGCCTTCCTACCAGTCTGGAAACAACAACACTGCAGAAAACAAGCCCTCATTTTGCAGCCCTATTGACATACACTCCCAAATTCCCATTCTTTATGTGGGATGTGTTTTGGATAACATGCCTAAGGCAAAGGCCAGTTGTCATAAGTCTTATTGCCTCATTAAAAATGTATTATATTAGAGCGTTCTCAGAGCTAATTGTGGTGATGTAGTTTGCTTTGCTAGTGTGCAGGAAAAAGCATTGAAGCTATAAGATTGAAAAAAGAAGGGACATGTATACAGATGTATATACAATTAACATGGAAAAGTGTCAAGATCACAAAAAAGTGCTACAGCTACTCACAGTGGTAGAGAGTCTATTTGTCTATGGGACCAGCCAGACGCCAGATAAAGTATAGTCAATTCTATAAATAAAACTAATCAGCTTTGTACAAACAAGTTCCTTGATATTTGCTCATACCTATATATTACCTAATGTATCTCAAACTAATTTATATAATTTAATCTCAAGGGTTTCAACTTCAGTTGCTGAAGGGTTGGATGATCTGGGTTTTGTTCCACAAATGTATCCCTGCTTAATTGGTCTAATTACTTAATTTACCAGAAAAACCAACCACTTCTACTCAGGCATGAACATGTATTAATTCTTCCTTGAAAGTACTGTATGTCCCTCCAGTTACTGCCTGCTGTTTGAAATACTGTATGTACTGTAGGAAGGACTGTAGTTTTAGGCATACTGGCATACTAAGCAAGTTTGTAAACTGAAAAGTCTTTGAAGGAACATAGACTCAGCCCTCCAAATTATTCTCCTACAGTTGGTGCCGTTTTAGATCTTCCCATTTTTAGATATGAATCATAGCAGTACCTTTGCGTAATACAGAATTTGAAAAAAGGTTTTCCAACTATTATCGCCATTTTCCCACTGGACATTTGGCATGGAGACACCCTGGACACCCTGGTCAGGCTGGAGTATCTGACCCTATTCCAGGAAGTTGTTGTCCATTCTGAAGGCCAGCCAGTGTATGTGTGTGTGTGTGGAGGGGGGGGCAGAACTTCATTAAAGAGTCTGTTACTCTTGTGTTCATATTTTCAATTAGCTCACCCTAGAATATAGGTCACAAAGAAGTGTCATAATAGTATGGAAAATAGTTTTTAAGCAAAAGTAAAGTCTGTTTTCAAAGCAACTCACAAATGCAGCATGTAGCTGCCCTTCCAATTATTAATCATGGCACAGTAACCTATGAGCCTATTTGCATATGATTTTGTGAGGAGAAATAATATGCCTAAAGAAAGTATTAAAGTTCACATTACTTTTTGAACTCCTTGCTACCTCCATAGTACAAAGTCGCAGGAAGTGTGACTCTGACATGATGCATGATGGAAAATGCATGCTTGAGAGTCTGAAAACAGATGTGATGACTATATGGCTCTATTGTATGTTCAAGGAGACACATTAAGAGAACACAAGACTGGACTTTCCATGTGCCATTTTAAGTGGAAAAAATGAATGTGTAAAATAAGCCCCATTGTTGAGATTAATACTGGCACTCATATATACTCTGTGTCATTTAAATTGAGCTGGGGTAGAACCCAATGTATAAACAGGCTAAAGTGGAGGTTCTACTCAATTTAATAATTTAATAATGCCAAGTGCCATCCTTCCGGTCTAAGGTTGGAAAAAGCCACTTAATTATGGCAATGTAGCTCCTTAATTAAAAGTCTGCATTTTCGTTTTTGCCAGCAGTAACAATGTCTGCAATTGGGCCAGTATCTCCACCTTCATGTCAGCTTTGATAACTTGACTTGTGACAAGTTATCCAGCTAATACAGCCAAGGGATTCTGTATCTTAATTAATAAACTCATCTGAAATAGGTTTTCTGCATCACCTAAAAGAGTGTAATTTGAAAACAGGGCTAATAGGATTATCAAAGATAAGGGTTCCCATCATAACAAAAGGAAATAAACTACAACTGATGTGAACAGCAAGGTTCCAAGAGTTGTTAAAATATATTGCTCTTAAGCAAGAGTCTTTCTACCCAAGACAGTGTAAAACACTCATATGGTCAAAGCAAGATTATGTAAAATAACAAAAGATAGGAATTTACCTTTGTGGAACAGCTAGAGGTTGAAGTGATATGAAATGGGAGAAAAAGAGTGAGATGGCAGAGAGAAATGTAGCTAAAGGGACTAGTGGTCAGAGCTCTGAGATTAAGAGAAGGGGTGAAAGACATTATCATTTGGTGATAAGTGCTTAAACTGTAGGTGACTTTTATGTGAAAATGCTTGTAAAAAGTTTTTTTTAAAACTTTTATTTTGCATTGGGTTCCTTTGTGGATTCTAGGTTATCTGGGGACCAGCAGAGATTGAATAGTTTGACTTCTGCCTGGACCTGATGGGCAAACACCATTCTTTTCACAAGGCAAAGACATTATTCCAGGACATTTTAAAAATTCTGTTCCCTAGTTTACAGTTTTAAAATGAGACTCAAAGAGAACAACAGAACCTACCAGACAGTTTCACACTGCACAGACATAACAGGAACTTAATAACTTATTAAGAAATAGAATTTATATGTCTTTTCTCCTTCTTCCACAGAATATGTATTTGATAACCTGAAGAATGTGTGAAAGTCCCATTTCATTCCGCTCTTCATTTTCAA